TTACCGTCGACGAGCAAACACCTTCGAATCGTGCCACCGGAACCCACCGAATCCGCGTTCCTCGTTGTTTCGAAGACCTTCCGCATTTTTCAACCCCGTCCTCCTCCCTTCCGCGGTTCCGTTCTTTTCTGAACCCGACCCCGGAAGAGACCGGCGAACCCCCGACGTCCGCGAAGGCTGCGCAGCGCGAGCGCGCAACAGGTCCTAATTTCGCGCGAGAGAATCCGCGAAAGACGAATATCTTCTGGCGACAGCCGAGGCCGCGTAGTTTCGCTTGCCGTTCGCGTAGCTCGCGGTGCAACAGGTGCAGCGGACAGACCGTCGTCTGCCGCGCCGCGACGCGACGCGACGCGACGCGACGCTTCCGTTTTACAGTTTTTCGCCACCCCCTCGCGTTCGCCCGCGGACGAGAGGAAACGCGTAGGCCGAGCAGGCTTTTCGATGGTCACCGATCGCCGAGGAATCGCGATACCCGCGCAACAGGTATTAATTCAAGGTGATCAATTAGCGGGAGGCGCGGATCGGTAGGGCCTCGAGAGGGTGGTATCGGCAGGAGCCGCGGAACAGGGAAAAAACGGAGGTCGCTTCGTTGGGCGCGAACCAACGGCGATCGAGCGAGCGGCTGACTGGTTAAGGGAGGGGTGAGGAAGGGAGACCGAGCCAGCGAGCGAGGTTTAGTACATTTAAATGAGAGCCACAGGTAGCAGCATTATGCAGTACGTGCCAGCCACCCCTCAGGAGGGGTGAGTTAGATCATCGTGTGCCGGGGATCCCCCTGTGTCGTACCGTTTCAACTACCCAGCTGGCTTTGCGCCTTCGCACCTGTGGGCACCGTCGAGGCTGCGGAGAGGTCACCGCGATACGCGTTCGTCTTTCCTCCTTTCTACCCTCGGAGCCGACCTCGGAACGACACTCGAAACGATTCCCCGGCAAGCCGAGCTCGTCCGTGAAAGCGCGACGTTCAACCTTCGCGGCTCCTCGTCGCTTTCACGAGATTTCGAAAGAAAAGGCAACGGTGATCGCCGAAACGAAGAAAGGTCGATTGCTCTTCGACGCGCGATACGCGAGCACGCACGTCCCCGGGCTAGCAACGCGTAATATCGACTGACATCGCGGAAGACGGCGAGCCGGCCGCGTCACGGACACGCGGAGCAGGTCCGATAGCAGCCTCTCCGGCTTGGTCCGCTCGCGAACGATAAGTATAGCCGAGCTCCTACCGAACCTAGGAATTTCGAGCGCACCTCCGATGCCAATTATGCCCGGCTCTGTCATTTACGCGGCCCGTTATTACACGCCGCGCGCCGCCCGTTTCGTCGGAATTACGAGCATTTTAATGCCGGCCCGACATTATCGCTTCTTTGCCAACTTTATTACACGCACGAGCCCGTTGCAACCTTTTAAGAGCCATTCGCCGGGGAGTCTCCTCGATTCCATTCACCGTCCCGTACGCACGCATATCCCACCCCCGCCGCTCGAGAGTCCGCGAAGATCCCCTTCCTTTTTTTTCTCTCGCCCTCGGCTCGCCGGCAGCTCGACGTCTCGATCGATCGCGCACCGCGCCAGCCACCTTCGAGTAATGCACCCTTAATTCGATTTCGCGCAGCCCCATTGCGTCAAATTGGATCGAACGTTGCCGTGAAATATTTGCTTAGGACCCGACAGGTAGCGAGAGTTCCCGGTTGCGCGCCGCAAGGGGTGACGCGCGCGCCGGTGGAACAGAGACGAGCGCAGGAAACACGGGGGAAGCGGACTAGCAACGGCCTGTTCCGACGCTCTACGTGAAAACACTTTACTACCTGAACGTTTGCTTGCATAATTTAGCCGGTCTTTTCTGACCCAACGGCAGCCCTGGGGGGCGCGGCCTCTGTCTCCCTCTCGCTTCCTCGTCCGCGCTGCACCTTGTCGCGCGGAGCACCTTCGTGGGGTGCGAAAACATTTGTGAGGAAGGCCGGGGACAAGAAACGTTCTTGTCCGTTCTAGGTGCGCTAGATGTCACGAACCGGAGCCGAATTCCGCTAGACCCCTCGACCCGTCAAACGTCGGACGGACGAGGATCTTCCAGGGAGCTACGGAAAGAAACCTCTCGTAGAGCAATAAACAACTTCCGATCGCGTTGGAAACGTCGACGCGAGAGGCAAGGGTGTTCCGTAACTGGAGTAACTTAGGAGGAAGCGATTGCACCACCGTCTGCCACTCGCATTTGCATAGATCCCTGCGCTAGATGGGAGCTGCCTATAGAAAAATGTCGAAACTGGATCATAGGGTCGACCCGTCGAACGACATCAGTCTCCAGTAAAAGAGGAACGATCGGAATTCCCGTGAAGACGTTCGAAGGTGAAATCGCGGGATGAAAAGGGCGAAACGATGTCGCGCGATGATGAAAGAAGAGAACGCGGCGGCCGGCTACCGCGAGAACTTTGGAAACCAGACCGTTCGCAGCGTGTCGTAGGTCGCGGCGGCCGTAAAAAAGAACGAGCGTCGCGCGCGACCCCCGTGCGTGAATGGAGGACGGTAACCGGCGTAATTTCACCGCCTTTATGCTTCGAATGAATATTTTAATATTTTAATACGAAATACGCTGCGAGGGATTTTACGGGCGGGTCGCCGCTATAGGTTTTTCCTCCGTTGGCCGCGGGACAGACGCGCGAGCTTTCCCTTGCGACGTCTGGGTTGGATCCCTGCGACGGGGGAGCAGGGACAGCCGGATAAAGGGTCGACGGGAAGACGCGATAAGACGCGGAAAGAGAGAGGAAACCGGAGGAAGACGGGAAACGCCGAAAGGGAGCGGGTATATAGATACCTGGCCAGAACCGTGAAAGGAGACGGCGGCTCGAGTGGGGCACGATCGCGCGAACGGTGGGGAACTACGCTCGCGGAGGGGAAAACCGAGGAAGAGCGGAGCCGCTCGTAGAGAAGGAGAGGAGATCGCGATCAGTACGGAAATCGTTCGTCAGGTGGCAGCAGCGCGCGGTCTTTTTACCCTGGAAGGGTGGAAAAATCTCTCTTGCATCCCTTCGGCGAGGATTTTCGAACGGCCGAGGGGGATTGTTGGTAAGCGTGCTGCCATCCGGTGGAAACGCGTCGAACTTCCTTCCCCGTGAGACGCGCCGCAGGTAAATCGTACAAAACGAGTAGCAATTAAAATCTTCGAACGCGAGGATCGAAAGAATCGAGAAACCAACGGGTACTTTTCGAATTCGGCGGTAGCCAACTTTCTAGGAACGCATTCCTCGACGATTACGAGGCAATCGCAATGGCGACGATCGCTCGTCGCGAAGGAAACACCGAGGATCGTTTCGGCCGGAACGATCGAATAAAAAAATGGAAGAAGTGTTCTCGGGTACATCGTTTAGCGTTTGGTCGAGGTGCACGAGGTGGAGGGAAATCGATAGGCCGCGCGTGGAACGATGCGAGGAGCGCGAAGAAATATGTCAGCGATGGAGGGGAGAAAAAGACAATGGTTTTATTTACTGCCGGGGACTCGTGACCCGAATTTTTACGATCTCCAACGGCGAAACGGTGCGATTCCTCCACGAGGAGACCCGGGACGCGTGAATCTGACGTCTCGTTAAGAACGGCGGAACGTGTTTTTCAGTGTACATAGAAAACCGCGGCTTCCGGAGAGGACCGAGGCTGAAGGGGTCGTGCAGTGTTCTCGAAGCAGATATCTTAACTCGTTCGCTGCCGCTGCGGTCAGTGACGCACGACGCCTCTAAATGACTCGACGCTTCTGTCGAGTATAAATATTTAGCGGCGGAAGCAGTCTGACAATAGAGCGTATCGAAAGAACCACGATATCGAGTGATCTCTAATCGTTTTCAACGCCGTTCGTCTTCGTCGCGAAAGGTTCAACATTTTCGTGACGGTCGAAGCGTTGGCAACCGGGTCTTAGAATTAGTTGGCGAATACCCGGGAAGAGCCGAAACATCGCCGCTAGTTGGCCCTCTCTCGGGTCCTCCCGATCGCGCGTTAAGGCGTCATAAGCGTCGCCGGGAACGGATTAAGCTTGTCCCGGGATTCGATTATAGCTGGCGGCGGGATCGAATCGTCCCGCGCTAACTTCCTCGACCGCACGATCCTTGGCGGGGGTCCCGGCGATGCTCGCAAAGGGACTCGCGGGTCGCACGGTGAATTTGCGTTTGAAATCGAGCACACCGAGCTTCCGACGCGTCGGACGCGCGCCGGACACGGGCTCTGCGGGCCGGCAAACTATTTCCCCAGCAGAGAGCTCCAAGGACCGGCCGCATCG